CCAATGGTTCGCAAACTATCTCGTCGAGGAGCGTGCCAAGATGCAACCCAACTTCCAGCAGCTGTACCTCGATATGCTAGATCTCTTTAACGACAAGACCCTCTGGGCCGAGGTGCTCCGTGAGACGTACTCAAGCGTCATTCGCATGCTCAACACCGACTCCACGCTGGGCTCCACAGAGCGTGGCCATCTTAAGAATCTAGGCTCTTGGCTTGGCTCATTGACAATCGCCCGCGACCAGCCGATCAAGTTCCGTAACATTTCGTTCAAGGATCTGTTGCACGAGGGCTACGACACCGATCGTCTCCTGCTTGTGATTCCCTTTACCTGCAAGGTACTTGTACAGGCCCAAAAGTCTACAATCTTCAAGCCCCCCAATCCTTGGCTTATGGAAATGCTGGGAGTTCTCATGGAACTCTACCACTTCGCCGATCTGAAACTCAACCAGAAATTCGAGATCGAAGTTCTCTGCAAAGGCTTGGAACTTGATCACAAGAACATTGATCCTACAAACAGTATCCGAGGCCGACCACCCGCGGACGAGGAATTCCTGGGATCCATGGTTACTGATGGAATGGAAGCGTTTGGCGATCTTTCCATTATGAGCCTGAACCGTGGCACCCGAGGCCCCAACGAGCGCTTCTCGTCAGCGGCTATCACCGCGGCTCTGCCCGACTTCACGAACCAGCTCCAATACCCACCTTCTGGAAACAGTGCGGTCCCTCCAGCGGCACTGAAGAAGATCTTCCTCACTGCTGTCAACCAAGCCATCCAGGAGATTATCGCACCTGTAGTAGAGCGCTCCGTTACTATTGCAGCCATCTCGACATCGCAGTTGATCAACAAAGACTTTGCCATGGAACCAGATGAGGAGAAGCTACGCAACGCGGCACACACTGTTGTAAAGGCTCTCTCCGGTGCTTTGGCTCTTGTTACCTGCAAGGAGCCACTACGCATGAGCATTCAGAACAACATCCGCGTCACCGCTCGGGACCTCCCCGATCAAGCTCTTCCAGAGGGACACATCCTCATGTTTGTCAACGACAACCTCGATCTAGTCTGCAACACGGTCGAGCAAGCTGCTGAGATGTCGTCTCTCGCAGAGATTGACATGCAGATTGAGGATGCCGTCCGCGTCCGTCGCATGTTCCGCAGCTCTCGTCCAAATGAGCCTTTCAAGGATGCGAACATCAGCCCATGGGCATTCTACATCCCTGAACCGTACAAGCAGATGCCTGGTGGTCTAAACCGCGAACAATTGGCCATCTACGAGGAGTTTGGTAGACAGTCACGTGGTGCTAGTCACGTTAACAACGCCTCGCAAGACGGTGGGCGTCAGCTTCCAGACGTTCTCCAAGATCAATTCGCAGCGGTACCGAACCTCCCGACTCCGGGTGCTGCGCCGGCAGAGCCGCGTCAACCGACACAGCAACCCCGCCTACAGAGTCTTCAGACACCTCATGCACCCTTGGCGCAACAACAACCCAACGGCTATATGGAAGCTCCAGGTCTAGAGCGCGGCCAGCGAGGTGTTGAGGATCTACTTCTTGAGCTCACTCGCGTCATCAAGGAGGCACCAGAGGAACGCATCAGCGAACTTCAGCCTGGTAACAGCACTGTTCACCAAGTCTTCGATCAGCTCATCACAAGCGTGGAGTATGCAGGACCCAACAAAGAGACGTGGGCTTTCCGCATTGCAGGCCAGGTCACGAACCACCTCTTCTCCGACTCTTTGAGTCGTTTGGAGGTTGAAGTCATGGCGCATCTACTGAGCCATCTCTGTCAATTGTCCGTCCAGACTTCGCGGCAGGTACTCATGTGGTTGGCGACTCTGCACGATGATGACAGGATCTTCAAGTCCACGGTCATGATCGCTCTCATGGAGGTCAGCCTGATGGACATGCACCGTCTTAACACGACTATCGCCAAAGCCATTCAAGAACGACGCGTCGCCGCAGTAGAGATGTTGTCTAGTTTGATGGAGGAACTCCTACTCAACGACCACCCGAGTGCGTTCCGTGCCGACTTCGCCATGTCAATCGATGCTCTTACTACCTGGCTAGCAGAGGACCCATCCTTTGAGCTTGGAAAACGCGTCATCGCCAACCTGCAGGCATCCTCCAACGAGTCCATGCTTACACCGCCGCCCTCTGGGCACAAGGATCAGCTTGAGTATGTGTTCGATGAGTGGGTACATCTCCAGATGGAACCCATGCCGAAGAAGACAGTCGGCGCTTTTATCTACCAGCTCCATCAACAGAAGGTGATGGAGACTCAAGAGTCCTCAGTTGCTTTCATCCGCACCTGCATTGACTCTTCAGTGACTGCATACGAACAGGAACACTCAGTGCCGTACGGTAACGGTAACGAAGACATTGCGACAGTCAAGATCGATGCGCTCGGCCGGCTGGTCGTCGATCTCGTCGTTTACCAAGGCGAGCAAGACGGAGCTGTCAAAGAAAGCAAGGCTAGGTACCTGGATCAGATACTCGTCGTGGTAGTGCTCGTTCTCTGCAACCACCACAGCACACGAGGCGACGCCTTCAACCAGAAGGTCTTCTTCCGCCTGTTCTCTGCCATACTGTTCCATCTGAACGATGCGGTAAAGGAAGAGGCTTTAGCAGACCAGAAGGCCGATGTCTTCCTTGCAGTCGCTAGGGCTCTATTGGTCATCCAACCGTCGCACATCCAACGATTTACGTTCTCTTGGCTGGCACTAGTTGCTCATCGTATCTTCGTGCCTGCCATGCTGGAAGAGGGCCAAGGAGACAAGCGATGGGACGTCTACGCTCAGCTTGTGGAAACACTCTTGATCTTCACCGGGAAGCTCATCAAGCCAACTGGAGAAACTGTCATGGCTGAACAGTTCTACCGCGGTGTTTTGCGGGTTCTACTGGTGATCCACCATGATTTCCCCGAGTTCCTAGTCGAGAATCATTTTCGATTCTGCAACAGCATCCCTATGCACTGCACGCAACTGCGCAATCTCATCGTCAGTGCCTATCCTTCCACGATCCTTGAGATGCCAGACCCATTTACGGCTGGGCTCAAGGCCGACCGACTTGAGCACGACCTTCAAGCACCAGTCATCCGTGCCGACATCGCGCAGGTACTCTCCGATGCAGGGATCAAGGGTGCTATAGACAACCTCCTCAAGGGCTCGGACCTAAAGAACCAGGATGTCGATAAAGTGTGTCAAGCTGTATACTACGCAGAGGCCCAGTCGCCAGCTTTTGAGCTCGTTTCAACTACCGCAAACCCAACGTTGATACATGCAATCACCCTTTACATCGGTATCTCGTCTCTAGGTACCGGCCCAGCCAGCGTACCAATCTTTGACGCGGAGAGCCCAGCCACCAAGGTCATCGAGAGGCTCGTCAAGGACTTCCACCCCGAAGCCAGGTTCCACTTCATTAGCGCCATCGCGAACCAGCTCCGCTTCCCGAACACGCATACTCATTTCTACAGCTATACGCTGCTACACCTTTTCGGACCCCCGAACGACGATTCGTTGGCGTTGGAGATCCAAGAGACGATCACCCGAGTGTTGTTGGAGCGCCTGCTGGTCCATCGTCCTCACCCATGGGGACTCATCATCACGTTGTTGGAAATCCTTAAGAATCCAACATACACATTCTGGGACTTGCCGTTTGTCAAAGCGGCTCCTGAAGTACGTAATCTTCTTATTACTCTTCTGTCCAATCATACTGACTCGTCTTCTTTTGAAGGTTGAGCGACTTCTCAATGCACTCTTCACGCATGCACAGTCGAGCCCACGACCGCTAGCTTAGGCAGCTGGTGGCAAGATCTCGACGTTTTCAGCACGAGTGTACCTCCAAGGCACCAACAACCTTCCGCCGTTCTTCATACGCCCAGCGTAGTCCGACGGTTAGTGTATCTCTCTTAGGATAAACCACACGGCCGTCATCTCTTTTCCTTCTCGGTGTAATACCTTTTCTATACGCATCACTCGGCGACTTCTCAACCGCTTGCGGGATCACGACTCATTGGGCTGGCTGGCAAAACAACGGGTCAACGATAAACGTACGTGGGACGGGGAAACCCGAGATGAGCATGGTGGGCTAGGAAGGGTGACGAACGCTCAGGATTTTCTTGGTATCGTTTTCTCAGTCTTTTTGGTTCATGATGATACAGAAAAAAGCAAGGGAGTTCTTCGGAAATCGTCTTTGGGTATCTCTAATATCCGTTCGTGTATGTCTTTGCTGCGCATTTCATGTAGAATAAGCATTGCTCGGCGAAACTTGTACTGGGGACGGGATGGATGTAACTGGGTGTGGTTTCGAGGCGCGAATGCTCTTTACTTTCTCCGTCATCGTCGAAGTGCATACATTGTAGGATATCATGAATGGTGTTTTCTGTCTTTATCGTCCTTCATTTCGAAAACGTGTTGTCATGGTGATGTGAGCACAAGGCATTGGAAGGATTTCAGTGAAGGTGAGATGAGATGGCTATCGCATACCGCAATCGTTCTCCTGTTATCTCGGTCTATTTCATATGGAGGTGCGTCATCGACCTCTCCGCCGATACACTGCGCGACAAACGCACGTCTTGACAACAAACAGATATCCTCGATACGCTGGCGGAGATGTGAAGATGTTTAGGGAGGGTGAGATAGGATAGCTCCCACGCGCGCTATCGGCCTCTTCGCGTCCCCCAGTCGACAGAGAGCGGCGCGACAAACGCACGTCTTGACAACAAACGGATATCTTCACTCTCACTACTCACTGCTCCTCGTCGCACAAAGGGCCCGAGCTCCCCACGCGCTCTCACCTCCAGCCTTTCTTCACCTCGTTTCCCTTTTCTCACCCACACACCTTTTACCTTTACTTCAAAATCACCCAAGACTCACGCGATCGCAACCGCAATCGCAATGGATCAACCAGCCTCAGGCAACCACCACGACCCTCACGCGATGGCATCGCAAGCTGACGCCAAGCCGACCGCTTCGACCGGCTACCCGGTCGCGTATTTCCTTTGCGATGGTGTCACTGAGAAGACGCTCAAAGCGAGTCCCAACCATACTCACCACATACAAGCCCCACGCTAACTCCAACCTCCTGCTCCAACAGACCTCTCTCATGCTGTCCCGCGTGCCCAAGCTACGCAAAGCGCGCATAGCAGGATACCGACGTTCTGTACGCTCTGGCGACGGACCCAACACGCTCGCATTCGATGCAGTAAACTTTGGTGAGTGGAGCGGCGAAGAAGTCGTGAAAGGCGTTGTTTTTCAAGCGTTCAATTTGGAGGAGGAGCGTCGTGTGATTGAGTATGCGGGAGGCTCCGGCGAGGTGAAGCAGGTGGTCATGAAGGTTGCTTGTCCGAGTGTACTGGGCCTGGCGGGGAAGATGGAGACGGTGTTGGGGAGGATCTTTGTTCCTGAGGTACGTCGAACTTTTCTTTGGCTTTGTCAAAAGGAGGAGGTGGAGGCTGGCTGGTAAGTTTGCTAATGTGCATAGGGTGATGGCGATACTCTGGTCGGGAGTGAGGACAGTAACCGCAGCACGATGGCTGTGGATGGCGATCGCAACGAAGAGTACATCGACGAGTTCAGCGACGAGGACTTCTCCGAGACCAGCTCACAGGCCACCGTCGAGGGTCACCCGACTCCACGCATCTCACCTTCGATCTCGACTCTCAACGACGCGGACGTTCCGCACAGGTCTCTCGATGACCTTCCGCTTTCTGCCATCAATGAGCACCCAGCGGACTCGATGATCGAAACTACGGACTGGGCGGCCACAAGACAGGTTGAGACTACGGACCTCAACCAGATTGAGGAGCCTGAGGAGATTCAAGACGTCGAGGAAACCGAGACCGAGGAGTCCGACGAGTCCGAGGAAGATGACCAGGAGACTGAAGGCACTGAAGAGATCAAGGAAACCGAGGTCACCGAATACAATATCGATACCATCTCCATGAGCTCAACCAGATCTCTAAGACCATCGGACTTCCAGAGGTTCCTCGGAGCTGAATCTGCACGTGCAGCACCGATACCCTCCCCTTGGCAGCCAACCGTCCCCTGGGAGAAGAGGACTGCGCTCGCACCTGTCCGCAACGAGATCGTACGCACCCCTAGCCAGTTCAGCGGCACTGAGACTAGGAGACGCAAGACCAGCGACAGCATCAAGTCTCTTGTCGACCACTTCGAGAACTTGTCGCCGGCGAGCACGCCTACCAAGGACAAGTTCGGCAAGGACGGCTCTTTCAAGGACGGTTCCATCAAGGACGACTTCATCAAGAACGACTCTATCAAGGACACCGGCAAGGACACCGATAAGGGCGCCTGGGTGACGTGAGAACTTCGCGTCCTGATCAGAAAGAATTTACGACACCACCGTTTGGCACTGCTACGTTCGTTGAAACAGAAGTTTCTTTGGAAGGAGGAGGTATATACGGGTCTGGATGTAGGAGAATTGGTATACGAGAGACTTTGTGTGTCTACTCAGTGAGGAGGGTTTCGGGGCCTTACTTGTATCTCTCTGGCAGTACCACGTGTACACTTGCCTGATTGCTTACTTACCTGCTTGCTCAAATGCTTGCATTCACGGTTGTTTGTTGGTGTCAAGGTCAGAAGATGGTTGGGGCACAACGGGTGATCCACGATGAGGGGAGACTGTACTTGCTTACTTCATCTCACACCCTTCTTTCATACTCCGTTTCCTCTGGGCCCATATGTGACTGCAAAACTAACGCTGCCTGACCATGCCGACGTCTGCGTAATGTGAGGTCTATACATTCTCAGACAATCTCAACCACTTTGTCCAAACAGAGGCTTTCACACGGCATGAGACTGATTGTTTGAGTTTCGATACTGTCGAAGATATCAAGAAAAGTTTGATTGTAAAGATCTACAGAAGAAGAGAATACGACTACCGAAAGTATCACCCATCAGAAACGATGAGATCTACCTTGCACCAACGCTTAAGCCCATAAGCCTACCACCCTAAGCGCGGCTGAAGCACTTAGTAACCAACTCGCGATCGGTCGAGCCATTGGGCGTCAGACCAAGCACGTAGCTCTGATCGAACGCACCAGCCGACCAACCAATGTAACCGAGGTAAACGTCGCTGTTCTTGTTCAAGCTATCAAGCGCAGCGCACACATCCTTCTCGCACGACACAGTGTTTCCGCCACCGACCTCAGACAAGATAGCTTGACGCTTGTTGTCACGGAGCCAGGTAGCGAGCGGGACGAAAGAGTCTTCGACGTGGTCGCTTGTGCACTCAGCGTGGGTGCCGGAGTTGTCGCTGTCGAGGTAGCGGTGGACGTCGAAGATGAGCTTGTCGGTCGTGCCGTCGGCGTCCTTGACCTTGAGGAGGGAGGGGCCGCTGGCGGTGGGGAAGGTACCAGCGGATGTGTAGTCTGTACCTGGGAGGAGGATCATTTGCGACTTGGCGCCGGCCTTGCGGATGGCGGTGACGGCGGCCTGGCACGAGTCGGCCCAGGTGGACATTGTGAGGTCGTGGGGCTCGTTCATCAGGCCAAAGGCAACGTTCTTCTCGGATGCGTACTTGGTAGCGATCTTGGTCCAGACATCCGCGAATTGTGCGTTGGTTGGGCCGCCTTGGCCGACGATCTGGCCGTTCCAGCGGGCGTAGTTGTGGAGGTCGAGAAGGCAGACTGCGCCGGTGGCCAAGCAGCCTTGGACGAGCTTGTCGTAGGCAGCGCTAACGGTGGCGTCGAGGTTACCACCGAGAGTGTTGCCGGTAAGATGCTGCCAGCCGATGGGGAGACGGTAGATGTTGAGCTTGTCGTCCTTGGTGAAATGTTGCATCTGGGCAATGCCGTTCGCACCGGGGTCGACGTAGGCTCCGCTGCATGATCCAGATGTGTCGCATCCGAAGTCGAAACCAGCAATGTTCATACCGGCGTACTGGGTCTTTCCGGAGCTGGCTGCCGCGTTGGCAGCGACGGCAGCCTTGCTGGGAGCGGCAACAGCTACTGCTGCTGGAGATGAGGTCTTAGCAGCGGGTGCCTTGGTGGCAGTCATCATGGTTGTAGGAACAGGGCTTGCTACAGGGCTTGCTGCACCGGCACCAGGAACACACTGAGAGTACCAGTCGTTCTGGACCTCGCAGTGGTATCCGGAGACACATGCGGTGGCACCGGTGAAACCCTTTCCACCACACTGTGTGTAGGCTGCGCTCTGCGCAGCGTAGGCACCGCTTGCTGCTAGAGCAGCGAATGCGAAGGAGTAACGAGCCATTGAAGCGAAGTTTGGATGAAGTAAGTAAGGATTTGAATAGATGAAGGAGTGACAATGCGATCTAGCACAAGTAGAAGTAAAGGATTGAAACTTCACAAATGTGATGGGGAACGATAGAGAAGGTGGGTAGGTAGCGCTTTTATCATGCCATGGTAAGAGTAGGTACTCCAAGGGTCACGTCCTTGCGCTTCCAACCCGTTCGAGACCTACATTCCAGAAGACGGCGTGGCGGCACGTAGTCTCCGCATTGTTCCCACCGTTTCACGATCATTACCGAGAAGCTCGGTGGTATTGAGTGGCTGTGAGCAAGAAACACGGGAGATGGGTCGCTTGTGCGACGTTTCCGGCATCTGCAGCTGTCAGTGCTGTCATCGGAGCCTTCGGAGGGCGGCGGCTAGTCCAAGCGAGATGGTCGACCCGCTTTTTGGCTTGCTTTCGAACCCGGTGAGCGGTTTCGAGCCCGTTCGTGGTGTTGGAGTGAAACGACTAGGCTGAGTTTTGTGGGGAACGGCGTAATGTTTCTTCATTTCGCCAAGATGAGAGGGGTGTGACAAGCTTCAGGATTCACGGAGAATAGAAGCTTGGTATGCTTGTTCAAAGACGCGACGACGTGTTGGAAGGCTTGTTTGGAGACGCGCAAGGGAGGAATGACTGGTCTTCGTGGTTCAGTGATTAGGCTGTCGTACGTCCTTGCGACGTGGAGTTGGATCGTCAAAGTCGTGGGGTGAGCCGCAGTTCAGGTACCGCCGGGTTACAACCGGTGGAAGAAGTCGACATCGTGGAGTGCTTAGTTTGTTTTACAAACGTGCACATTCGTAACGGGTAGACAGCGATGATCTCATGTCATCATGCCGTACGGAAAAACTACGCGTGCTTCGTGGCTGCCATTCTGTTCATCTTTTTGGTGTCGCCTTGGGAATCTGAGACATCCTCTACCAATCTCCATCCTCGGCTTCAGAGCGTGCCGATGCGCAAAGAAGTATTCGGACAGATTCGCACATTCTTGTGATGTCTGTACTCCCCCGATGCGATTTCTTCTCCTCTGCTGACCTTGCCGCCCGTCCTGGAAAGCATCTATGCCGTCGGAAATAACATCACCACCCGTGCGCCATTATCTTCTTTTTCTTCATCGCTGACGTCGTCTATTTCCTCATATCCTTGTGTTGGTAAGAACCCAGCCGCAGAGGCATCAGGTTTCGCCTCCTCATCAACCACGTGCCGTTTCCTCTGGTCATCGCGGTTTTTTTCTAGCCCTTCACATCACGCGGTGGAACGGATGGCTGATTGTTCATCGATGCTCGCATTCGTCTCATTCCTTGTTCCAATGTACCAACACTGGATCATTTACATAGGTTGGCAGGCCTAGTCAAGCGCGGTTAGCACGTCTTCCGAACATCTTATACCTGCGACCGTTTACTGTTCGAGTCTTGCCTTGCACAAAGAAGACTGTTCTTCATGGGAGTAGCAAGGTTGGAAGAAACTCGGTAGCGTCAGTAACCTGACGCCATCGTCGATGATCTGATGCGATAGCCTACTCCGTAAAGTCCTTCATTGTCTCTTCAACTGATAGAGCGCTCCGGAAAGACTAGAGAAGTCTATCGTAATTCTGATCAGCATTCTGTACGAGTGATAAGTCTTTCCGTCGGGTTTGATCTGGTTTGGACATTGCAAAACCTTCACAGCTCGAATGTCATTGGAAGCCGGTCTCTAAAGGGCAAGCCGCAAGGCTATGTAGTGCTCAGGCTACAATCATCGACTAGAGCCCTTGAATGGGGTATTCTCAAGCCTGAAGGCGTATGTCGCTGGTGTTCGTTCGGTCCAGCAGCCAGCATGATGACCCCGCCTTTCCAAGAACAGTTAGCTTGTGTAACTTGGCGGCCATTCACATGCATTATAGTAAATATAATGCGCTTCCTAGCCTTGCGACACTTATTTTCCTTCCCCCTTTTCGCTTTCAAATCAGTGTGGGTTGCGGAATCGACGAGCAGGTCCCAAGGCACATCCAGGATATCTCAAAGACAAGCCAATGTCACAAGCCTCGCCTGCTGCGACCATCAATCGACCTTACTTGACGCCATGCCTACGGTCGCTATCAAACCTGGTGCGATAGTGTTTGTAACAGGCGTCAACGGGCTCGTCGGAAGCCATGTCGTCGATCAGCTTCTGAAGCGAGAGTACAATGTTCGCGGTGCTGTGAGAGATGCCGAGAAACACAAATACATGACCGAGTACTTCAACGATAAGTACAAGAAGGCGAAATTTGAGTTGGTCGAGGTGCCGGATATGACAGTCGAAGGGTGCTACGACGATGTTGTTGATGGTACGTCAAACCTTTTGTCATTAGTGGTATCTTGACTTCTGATATTGAAGAACTTCATCCGCAGATATTGAAGGCTTCATCCATGTCGCTTCTCCGATCGGAGGCATCTCCGACGTCAATGAAGCGATCTCCATTACCGTGAACGCGGGTCTAAATGGTCTCAAGGCTTGCGCGAAGGTACCCTCATGCAAAGGCTTCGTCTTCACCTCGTCATCCCTTGCCGCAACGTTTCCTCATCCAAATGTGGAATTCTCAATCGATGAGAACACATACAATGATGAAGCATTGAAGATCTTGGAGAAAGAGCCTGGCAAACCAGGGCTGTTCGTCTACGCCGCCATGAAGACTGAGACCGAGAAGGCAATGATGAAATGGATGGAAAATAACCAGCCTGGCTTTGTGTTCAACCGTGTTGTGAGCAGAAAGTCTAAGCTCCAGAAGGGTCATCGCTAACCCCAAATAGTTGCCAAACGCCAATTTTGGCCCAGTCGTGATCCCCGAGCATCAAGGCTTTCCTTCAACCATCGGTTGGGCCCGTGCTGCTTGGGAAGGCGAACAGCTCGACTTTTGGACCACTTCCGTTGGCCCGCAATGGTATGTCCATCCTGTTGACTGCGCGCTCCTGCACATCTCCGCGCTGATTCACAGTGATGTTAACAATGAACGTCTCTTTGGGTTCGCGGAACCGTGGAGCTATAACCAGATGCTGGATATATGGCGTAAGCTGTATCCTGAAAAGAAGTTCCTCGATAATATCGAGGGCATGGGTG